GCGCCACGCCGCTCCACATGGCCGACCCACCACCCAATGAGCGGGCCTGCGCGCGCACAGCCAGCCAATCACGCGCATGCGCTGCCGCAGCTCTCTCTCTCGCTCCTTCCCACCACCCTATCATGCTCTCTCTCTCCTTCTCTCTCTCTCTCTGCCTCTCACGCACACACCTAACCCCAGCCTTGTCCCGCGTGCTTATGTTCTACTTTTCTTTCCCTTTCCAATCAGTAACTGTGGTGGTTTAGTGGAGCAGCTTTCAAGACTCTTGCGTAGGCACTCGTGCCAATTTAAAAAAAAAATTAATAGAGATATCAAACTACTTGGCTGAATTGAATAGACTTGTCGTGAAATATTTCAACAAACGCATTCCAGGTTTACAACTATTATCGCTTCTATCGCACCCTTGATTTTTTAAACACGACGTAATTGTTTTACTCGGCAGTTAAATCAAAGGGTCTGTATATTAACATTTTTGGACACACATTATCTTTCTAATTAGTTTTTATTAAAAAGAAAAAAAAATGTCAGTCTCTCCGACGGGATGCTCTTTCCGCATTTCCTCACCTCATGTCCGCCCGTCCGTCGTCCGCCCGCCCGTCTCTCCGCCCGTCCGTACGTGCTAACGTGCGCTTACTCAGCCCGGGCATGTGTGTGACGGCCGTTAATTATAATTTGACACCTTTTTTCCTATCCTCATTTTTTTGCCAATTACTGGCGTGTCCCCGCACGCTGACGCCGACCACGCGACATGTTCGTGACACTCTCCTCTCTCTCTCCCCCTACCCATCACCCCTTTCCCCCCATACCACACTTCGCTTATTGCTGCTGGTCGCACCTGAATAAACGCTTAAAAATCATCAAGTGGCAATTATAATTTTAAAATATTCATGTCGAATAAAAATGCAAATTTTTGCAGGCCGCTCGGGGTCGAGTCCCCGGAAGCGATTGGTAATGGTCCCTATTAAAAGCAAATGTAATCACTGTTGTCGACCGACCAGCAGGTGAAGGGCCCCTGCTGCTGGCAGATGCGCAAGGGACGGCGA